CAACATTAAGGGATAGGAGGTCATGGAACATGATATTCCAGAAGGCAAAAGAGTTAGGACTACAACCAAGAATCACCTACCTGGAGAAATGAAGCATAATACTTTAAGGAAAAAATTGTCATTCAATGAAATAGAAGGATTACAAGCTTTCATAAGGAAAAGACCAGAAGTGAACAAAAAATTTGATTTCCAATATCAAGGCCCAAGAGAAGCCTAAAAATGTAAAAAGGGAAAAGAAAACATAAAGATTCAATGGAGCTGAATTGTTTACACATTCCTACATGGGAAGATGATACTTATAATTTTAAAAAATTGTACCACTAATAGTACAGTTATAAGGAATATACATAGACAGAGGGTACAGGTATAAGGTAAATTTAAGAGAATGTCATAAAAATGATTAAGGGATGAGAAAGAGGGGTGCATTGGGTGCAGAAGGAAGAGAGAGGTAGAATAGGGTAAATTATGTAACATAAAGGGGCACAAACAACCTATTGCAGTGGAGAGAAAGATGGGAGGGTGGGCAGTGGGCATCACTTGAACCTTGCTCTCATTGGTATTGTCTCAAAGACAGAATAGCATGCACCATCAGTTGAATATAGAAATCTATCTGACCTAACAGGGAAGTAGAAGGGGAGGAGATTAAGTAAAGGTGAGGGGGGGGGACTGACAGAAGGGAGGGCAGACTGTGGGAGACAGTAGACAGAAGCAAAACACTGTCAAGGAGGGAAAGGGTGAATGGAGAGACAGGGCAAACAGGAGGGAAAATAGGATGGAAGTAATCATAACCATAAATGTGAATGGGATGGACTCTCCCATAAAATGGAAGTGGATAGCAGAGTGGATCAAAAACCAGAATCCTATAATATGTTGCTTACAAGAAACACACTTGAAGCAGAGAAACACACACAGAATAAAGGTAAGGGGCTAGAACAGAATCTATTATACTTCAACTGAAGTAAAAGCAAGGGTAGCAATTCTGATCTCAGACAAAGCAAAAGCAAAAATAGACCTAATTAAAAGAAATAAGGAAGGAAACTACATCTTGCTAAAAGGTACCATAGATAATTAAGTAATATCAATACTAAATACATATGCACCAAGTGATATAGCATCTAAATTCTTAAAGTTAAGTGAGTTATAAGTTTGTGACTTAAGAAATGCAAAATAGATATTTTTTATTATATTGAATTAAGAAGTTTTTGCACAAACAAAAACAATGCAACCAAGATTAGCAGGAAAACAGAAATCTGGGAAACAATCTTGACAGCCAGTGTCTCTGAAAAAGGCCTCATTTCTCAAATATATAGAGAACTGAGTCAAATTTATAAGAATACAAGTCAATTCCCAATTGATAAATGGTCAAAGCATATGAACAACCAGTTTTCAGATGAAGAAATCAAAGCTATCTATAGACATATGAAGAAGTACTCTAAATCATTTTTGATTAGAGAAATGCAAATTAAAATAACTCTGAGATACCACCTCATGCCTATCAGATTAGCTAATATGACAAAAAATAAAAATGATAAATGTTGGAGAGGATGTGGGAAAATTGGGACACTAATGCACTATTGGTGGAGTTGTGAACTGATCCAACCATTCTGGAAAGCAATTTGGAACTGTGCCCAAAAGGCAACCAAACTGTGCATATCTTGTGACCCAGAAATACCATTACTAGGTCTGTATCCCAAAGAGATCATTAAAAAGGGAAAAGGATCTACATGTGCAAAAATATTTATAGCAGCCCTTTTCATGGTGGCAAAATATTGGAAATTGAGAGGATGCCCATCAACTGGGGAATGCCTGAACTAGTTGTGGTATATGAATGCAATGGAATACTATTGTGTGAGAAATGATGAACAGATTTCAGAAAAACATGGAAAGACTTACATGAACTGATGCAAAGTCAAATGAGCAGAACGAGGAAAACATTGTACTCAGCATCAGCAACATTGTGTGATGATCAACTATGAATGACTCAGCTCTTCTCAGCAATATAATGATCCAAGACAAGTACAAGGGATTCACGAAGGAAAATGGCATCTACATCTAGATAAAGAACTGATGGATTCAGAATGCAGATCAAAGCATACTTTTTTCACTTACTTTATTCTTTTTCCACGTTTTTTCCCCTTTTAATCTGTTTTTCTTCTTTTACAACTATGACTAATGTGGAAATATATTTTATATAACAGCACGTATATAACCTATATCAAATTGCCTACCATCTTAGGAAGAGGGAGGGGAGGGAGAAAAATTTGAGACTCAAAAACTTATAAAAATGAATGCTAAAAATTGCCTTGACATGTAATTGGGGAAAAAAATAAAATATTATTTTAAAAAAGAAAACATCTGTTTTGTCATTTCTTAGACCATGATTGATTCTGTCACATTTATATTCCAAGACTTATTCAAGCATCTCAGTTTTTTGCCACTACAAAAAAGACTTCCTATAAATACTCTTGCACATATAGGACCTTTTTCTCTTTCTTTGATCTTTCTGGGTATAGGCCTAGCAGTGATATTGCTGAGACAGAGGGCATGCTCTGGTTTTTTACTATAATTCCAAATTGCTTTCCAAAATGGTTCTACCCATTCACAGGTCCACCAACACTCTTTCAATGAGTGTGTTTTTCCCACAGGGCCTCCAACATTTGCCACTTTCCATTATCACCTTCAGCTGTCTAATGAGTGCAATGTGTAATCATAAAATTGCTTTCATTTGCATCTGTCTAATTAGTAATGATTTGGAACATTCTCCACATGGTTATAGATAGAGAGCCTTGGTTTTTACCCTCAAGATCTGTTCATGCCCTTAGGCTATTTGTAAATTGGGGAATGGCTCTTTTTCTTGTAAGTTTGAATCAGTTTCTTATATATTTTGAAAATGAGACCTTTATCAGAAATTTGCAGTAGAACTTTTTCTTAGTTCATTGTTTCCAATTTAACCTTAGCTTTATTAAATTTGTTTGTGTACAACCTTTTCAATTTTATTTAATCAAAATTATGCATTTTATCTTCTGTGGTCCTTGTTGGTCATTAACTTTTCTCCTATACTATTTGTTTTTGATATGCCCTTTTAGATCTAGGCCGCACATCCATTTGGAGTTTATCTTTGTAGAATGTGTGGGGTGTTGAACTAAATCTATTTTTTTTCTGTTCTGCTCTTCAACTTTCCAATTGGTTTTTGTCAAATCCTTACCTCATGATCAGGGTCCTTGTGTTTATCAAATAGTAAGGTATTATATATATTTGTTTCTGTATGCTGGGTATTGAAACTGTTCCCTGATGGCTCTCTCTATTTTTCACCAATACCAAATTGTGCTTTATAGCATAGCTTGAAATCTGATGGTATGAGGTTCTCTTTATTCCCATTTCTTTTTCATTATTTCTTTTGAGGTTCTTGACCTTTTTTTCTTTTTATTGCTTTAATTTGCATCTAATTAGTAATGATTATCACTAATTATTAAACCATTATTTTAAAGCCACGAATTATTAAGCCATATAATAATAAGCCATTATTACTTTTTATACATCTACAAGGTAATCCTTTAGTCGTTGAATTAACATAGCATTGAATAAATAAATTAATGTAAGTAGTATCATTATTTTTTATCATATAGATATCCTACCTATACATAATTAATATTTTCCCAGTTATTTAATTCTGTATTTCTGCGAACATTTGTTTGCAGTTACATAGCTTTGTGTATATCTTGGAAGGTAGACTTCCACGTATTTTATACATTCTATAGGAGTCTTAAAAGAACTTTCTCTTTTCTCTTTCTTTGCTGTATTTTATTGGTATTACAAAGAAATGCAGGTGATTCATGTGGATTTAGCTTATATTCTCCAAATTTGCTTAAGTTATTGTTTTAATTAATTTTAGCTGACTCATTAAGGTTCTTTAAGTACATTCTCATATCATCTGGAAAAAGGGTTAACTTTTTTTTCTTCTTTACCTGTGTTTGTTCCCTCAATCTATTTCTTGTCTTATTGCTATGGCCAGCATTTCTAGCACTAGGTCAAAAAGAGGTGGTGACAGTGGGCATCCTTGTCTCACCCCTGAATTCATTGGAAAGGATTCTACTTTAAGTCCATTTTAAATAATAGTATCTCTTGGGTTTTAGATATATACCATTTATCATAGTAAGGAAAGATTTATCAGTGTTACATACTCAAAAAAATTTTCTGCATCATTATTATAATCCTGTTATTTTTGTTGATTTTAAAATAAATATAACTAGATACACTTACCGTTTTCCTAATATTAAAACTGATCATCATATACAATCTTTGTGAAATGTTCTTTTAGCTTCTTTGCTAATGTTTTATTTCAGTTTTTGCGTCTCTGTTCATTAGGGATCATGGCCTATCGTTCTCTTCTTCTGTTTTGACAGGGAGAGATTAGTAATAAGCAAAACAGACCTTGAGCTCAGAGAGGAGATAGTGAGGAAAAGGGGAAAAAGAGAAAGGGTGATAACTCAAAATGAGTTGAGAGGAGGAATACAGAGAAGAGCAGAAGGATAGAGAATGAACAATTAAGTCATAATTTTGACTGTGAATAGTTTAAATTGACTCATAAAATGAAAGAGGTCAGCAGAATGGGTTAGAAAGCAAAATCCAACAATATCTTGTTTATAAGAAGTATACTTGAAGCATAAAGATTCACATGGAATTAAAATAAAAGGTTGGGGCAAAATCTATTATTTTGCAGATGAACACATACAAAAACACAGGATAACAATTACGATTTCAGACAAGGCAACAGAAAAAAATGGACCAAATGAAAAGATAAAGAGAGAAACTACATTTCCTGAAAGGTAACATGTATTTCAGAATTTAACAGACATACACCTGATGACATAGCTTATGAACGCTTCAAGGAAAAATTAAATGGATGATCAGCCTCTCTGTGTAAACAAGGCCTGCACAGAGAGTTTTATTCAGCTCTACTTAATGTTTGTCAAGATGACCTTGCCATGTTTCTTTTATAGATTCTAATCGGCATTGATGGAGCCTTGTGCAGAAACACCACGTCCCCCAGGCTTGGCACCGATTCCAAGTGGCCACAAGTAAAGAAAAACTTCACTAAGAGGGAAGCCACATGTCCCAAAGGCCAGCACCCTGTAGGGGCCATCTGCTGCCAGTTATGCCCTCCTGGTAGGTACCTGACACATATGTGTCTTTGGGGATAAGACATGGTTTGTGGGTTGAGGGGAGGAGTTCAGCAAATGTTGGCAAATTGCTTTCAACATGCCAGGGGATTCTTGTGATAGCCCGCTCATAGCCCCCCGCCGGGGCCACTCATGTCCTGGCATAGCTTCCCCTCTACTGCGCCTCCCAGCGTACATGTGATGAGAAAGGCGCTGACCGGATGGTGGGTGGCAGGCCGACAGAGGGGCTGCCCGGAGAGCGGGCAGATGAGGCTGCCTCTGTTGTCCCTCTGCTTGGTATCTGAAGCCTTCTTTCACGATCTGACTCCAGTCTCAATCTCTTTTATGGACCAGCTTCCCCCTTGGGAAGGTAAGTGCCCTGAAGGCTGCCGGGAACTCTCTCTTTTGGCTCATATGATTCCCAAGTGCTTAGTTTGGGGATCAGTAGGTTGTGAGTGCTTTGATGGCCACTAGGGGGCACCACGGTGCAGAGAGACACAAGCCTGACGTTGGGAGAAGTCCTGTTCAAATCCAGCCTCAGACATTTGCTAGCCGTGTGACCCTGGGCAAGCCATTTCACCTGTTTGTCTCAGTTTCCTCATCTGTAAAATACGGGTAATAACAGCACCTATTTCCCAGAGTTATTGTGAGAGCCAAACGAGGTGATATTTGTAAAGCACTTAGCCCAGTGCCTGACATATAGTAGGCACTATATAAATGTTAGCCATTGCTATTATTATCATTGTTATTATTATTGTTGTTGTTGTTGTTGTTGTTATAACTTGTTGCCAGCCTTTACAGGTTTATTGCTCACACCTCTCCTTCATGCATGGTACATTCCAACCAGCCTGATTTTCTTGCTTTTCCTCATTTATGAAATTCAATCTCCTGCCTCCATGACTTTGCACGAGCTGTCCCCTATGCCTGGAATGCCCTCTCTTGTTACTGGAGTTCCTAGCTTCATTCACATGCCACCTCCTACGGGAGGCATTTCCTGATCCCCGTCCTCATCCCCTAGTTATTAATATTCACCTGGTCTGAAATGACTTTGTTATTCAGTCATCTGCATGCATGCTACGTACTCCAGTGGACTATAAGCTCCGTGAGGGAAAGGAGAGTTTTATTTCTGTCTTTGTATCCCTAGTGCCCAGCACCATGCCTGGCCCATAGCAGGCGTTTGCTGAGTCAGCTCAAACTGAATGTCTGCCTGCCTTCTCAAGAAGGCCAAAGCACTTAGGGAGGGCGGGAGGGAGGGCGAGAGAGTGGGCCTGAGCTCCTGGCACCATCTTCTGATGCAGATGAGTCACATCCATGGGTTGAAGCCTCTGCCCTCCCGGGGTGGCCCAGCACCTCCCCCCAGACAACTGAGCACGCAGCAAACAGGGTCTGCCCGGGGCTTGAGTGTGCATGGAGTATTTGCATTTTCCATCCAAAAGGCAGAGTCAGCTAGAAATACTGCCGACAGCAACACCCCAGTGCTGGCAAAAGAGCCACCCAGCGAGGGTAGGAAAGCCTGCAAGCAGCAGCAACAAATTAGAGATCCCACAAAATGCAAATGTGACAGCAGCCTTTGAAGGAGGAGGGAAAAGAGACCTCCAGCTTAGAAGAGCCATGCCCCGCCCCACCCCTGCCTCCCAGCAGCTTCAGCTGGACGAGACAGGAAGACAAGCAGGTCAGAGTTTTAAGAGGGACAAGAGTCTGAGAGCTCAGAGTCAGAGGCTCTGAGTTCAAATCCTGCCATCAGTACTTACTACCCTTGGCTTTAGCTCACTTCCCTTGACCTTGGACTCTTCCTCAGTGAGAATCACCTCTGAGATCCCTCGAATCTCTAACTCTGATCTTTTGATCCAGTAAAATCATTTCATTGCCCTGGGCCTCAGTTTCCTCCCTCATAAAATGAGGGGGGTCCTAGACTTCTTCCCAAGTCCCTGCCAGTTCTTAACTTTCTGGTCCATGGTCTGTGTGATCTCCCAGCCAGCTACAGGAGAGCTGGCCTGTGATGGGATAAAAAGAACAGAGCCTTTGAAGCTAGGCCCTGGTGGGTTTCCCAGATATACTACTATAAATAGGCAGCCTGTTAGGACACTAGACCTGGAGTCGGGAACACTTGGGTCCAAATCCCATCTCAGACACTCAGCTGTGTGACCCTAGCAAGTCATTTGACTTCTTCATGACTCAGTTTCCTTAGGTGTCAGATGAGGTCTAACACCTAACTCAGAGAGTTATTTAGATAATCAAGTGACTATATGGAAAGGCAGTGTTGTTCTATGGAAACCCACTGGACACGAGGTGAAAACATCTGAATTCAAATCCTGTTTCAAATCACTGACCTGGTCTAAACCTCAGTTTTCTCATCTGTCAGCTAGGGATGATAATAATAGAGAAGATGTCTCTCTGTGTCTGTCTGTCTGTCTGTGTCTCTCATCTCTCTGTCTTTCTGTCTCTCTCTCTCTCTACCTCTCTTCTCTCCGTCTCTGTCCTGTCGGTCTTTTTCCTCTCTCTGTCCATCTCTCTCTGTCTCTCTCCCTCTCTTTGTCTCTCCTTCCTTTCTCTGTCTCTCTGTCTCTGTCCCTGTGTGTGTTTCTCTGTCTCTGTCTTTCTCTTCCCTCTCTCTATCTCTCTCTCTCTCCCCTCTCCCTATCTCTATCTCTCTCTGTCTGTTTTTCTCTCTGTATTTCTGTTTCTGTGTGTCTCTGTCTCATTCTCTATCATGCCATCTCCCTTACCTAGTGCCATTAACAATGCCGTTTTTCTTCCCATCTTCTCCTTCATCCACCCTTTTCATCTTCTTTTCCTAATTCTCTTCCTTGGCAGTAGCCAGTATCCCAGGACATACTTTCAAAGAAAGCCTTTGTAAAGATGCCTTTCCCTTCCAGGCTGTTCCCATTACTCCTTTGTTTTGTTTTGTTTTTCTGAGAAGGGAACCATTTCAAGCATGCCCTTGGGGGAGGTAGAGAAGGAGGGCCCTCAATGTAATCAAACGTGCCCATGCTCCCCTCCTCCCTCCTTGTGTGGAGCTAGAATGTGGTCTTGGGTTGCATTCTGTGTGTCCTGATGAACAGGACTAGGAAGGTCAGAGGGCATGACTACTCTAGCCGGACCACTCCTAGAATATTGTGGTCACTTCATTTTAGGAAGGACATTGGGTCATCTCAAGCATGTCCCTGGAAGGACAAGCATGGTGATGAAGGGCATGCCATGTGGGAATCTGTGCGAATGAAATGGGGGTGTTTAGCCTAGAAAAGAAAGAGAGCTATCTGCAGGTATCTGAAGGGCCATGTGGAAGAGTCAGTTGAATCCTTCCCCATGGAAGGAGGAAGGATTGTTTTGTTCATGTCCAGAGGGCAGAACCAGAAGCAACGGACAGCAGGAACAGAGGGGCAAACTGTGTCTTGGTGTCTGGAAAAAGCATCTAAAGAACAGTGGTGTCCAGACGACATGGTACAGGCTGCCTTGGAGGCTGTGCCTTCTTTACTGGAGGCCTTCAAACAAATGCTGGACAGCTCCTCTCAGGCATGTTGTAGTGTGGGACGGGAAGGGCTCTGACATCCCAAGAGACTGCGATTCTCCTTTGAAGGGGACTCGTGGCTCTCTGAGACTGGGGGGAGGGGAATGGGGAAGGGATTCACAGGGAAATGAGTGTGTAAGAGAACCCCAGGAAGTCTCTGAAGGAGAACAGTGACAATCACCATAATAACACCCATGTTGAAAGCACTTTCAGCACCCTCATGAGGTAGCACACATCTGGATTATTATCTCCATTGGACAGCACAGCAAAAAGACTTGTTGAGGTAATGTTACTTGTCCAGGGTCACATAGCTGAGCCTCGGTTTCCTCATCTACAAAATAGGTATAATACCACCCATAGTTTCTACCTCTCCAACCCATTGTGAGGCTCAAATGAGAAAATATCTGAAACGCACTTTCTAAATGTCTCTTGGTCTTCCTTCTCCTTCGCTTTAGAGAGCTCTTCTGCTTGTCTTTAACCTAGTCAGTCAACAAGACTTTATGAAGCACTTACTATGTGCCAGGCATTGTGCTAAGCCCTGAGGATACAAAGAAAGGCAGAAGCACAGTCCCTGCCCTCGAAGAGCTTCCAGTCTAATGGGGGAGAGAACCTGTGCACAGCTCTCTACGCTTACAGAATACACTGGAGGTCGTCTCAGAGGGAAGGACAGGGCCCTCACAGAGGGAAGGCAGGATCTGCGCTGAAACTTGAAGGAGGCCACAGAAAGGATCATTTGCCATTTCTTATGGTCACCAAATGCCAGAGTAGGAAGGGGCCTCCAATTCTGGACAAGATTCCCCTCTATATTGTGCTTGATGACGGTTCCTTCAGACTTTGCTTGCAGACTCCCAAAGAGGGAGAGTCCACTAGAGGGCCTCACCGTAAGAATGAATGTTAACCCTCACCCCCATGCAAATGGGCTATCCTCTAGCCAAAGACCAGGGTGGGCTCATTCCTTCTCTGACCATATTTTTGCATATTTTCAGGGGTGTGCTGGAACCAGCTCATGCTCTTTGAGAGCTGATTGTTACATTTTCAGTGTGAGTATTTGCATCTCAGAAATGGGCAATGTCTTGTTGAATGTCCAGACTTAAGAAAGTGACGGAGAAGATGTTGATAATGCAGATTAAGCCTAAAAGTGTGGCATACACACTTTTAGTTTTCCTGGAAAGCCAGCTGTTAAGTATTTGCCAACACACCCTTACAAACTTTCCTCTGCTCTCGGACAGGCACAAAGAAGGTTCTTGACTGTCTGGTAGATGGAGGCAAACCAAACTGTACAAGCTGTGCCCTTGGGGAGGAGTACATGGACCATCCTCACTATTATGATAAATGCCTACGGTGTGGCCTTTGTGATGGAGAGCATGGTAAGTCTATCAAAGGACAGCAGAAAGCCTCACACTCCACCTGGAGCCCATGTTCCCTTCATGCAGACAGGGCTGCAGACAGAATGTGCCAGCCAGTGCAGTTCAGGAAACATTTCTTTCCCATCTATGATGCGCAGGGAGCTCTGCTAGTCATTTCATGTACAAATAGACATTTTCCTGTAGGGCTAAAGGAAGAAGGATGTTCATAAATGTTCACAGAGAACTAAATTTGGGATGTATGCTGAAAATGAAAGTCTAGAAGCTTTGCAGTTTATATTAATTAAAATCATTCTTTCGACTCACAGTGGTGCATGAGGGGTGGGCTAGAGGAGACACTGACAACTAGGGGAACCTAGAAAGAGTATCGTGAAGGAAGAGCATTTGTGGAGGAGAGTAATATGAGGAATGTATTGGCACCTAGTACATGAGAGACAATGGATTGGGACAGTCTGAGAGAGGGCTAGGACAGGGAGCCCAGCCAACAGAAGAGGAGAGGAAGACACTGAAAGTCTCCACAGGCAAGGGGTCTCGAGCGGTGAACTTCGACACAGCTAGGGGATGGAGGATGCTCCCAAGATGCCCAAGGCACACGACTTTCCCTGAGCTCGTGGGCCATGTTCAGACAGCTCAGCAGCAGCATAGCACAGCATGTAGGGCCACACCAGGAAACACACAGACACAGGCCAGAGAAAACCACCACAGACACAGCCAGAGCTCACCAGAACCCCCACCCTCAGAGCCCTATGCTCTGTCACTTGGCCTCTCTCCTCTTTTTCCTTCAGCCTCATGTGCCTCTGGTTTAGTTGTTTCCCCCCATTCCTCACTGAGCTGCAAAGTATCAGTGATTGGTCGCTCCCCACCCCCCACTTTGCGGTAGCTGTCAGAGGCACCTGAATCTGCAGCTTCTGGGAGTCCCCCGACTCCTCCACCTTGTTCCCTGCTCAGTCATTTCTGCCTCCACCACACCTGGTGTGTCTGCTCTTCCCCACCCACTTAGCCTCCAGCTTAGTTCAGGCCTCACTCTCTTTGACCTGGACTGTGGCATTGGCCTCCTCCCTGTCCTGAGGCTCTCCCATCTATGTATAACCGCTAAGGTGATTTTCTTACAGCTCAGACCTGACCCACCTCAATAAACACCCTCTATTACCTGTAAGATCAAATAGAAACTCCTTAGTTTGGCATTTAAAGTTCATCAGGACCTGGCCCCTTCAGACCTGCCCACACATTGCTCCTCCATATCCTTCACAGTTTAGACCCATCTCCGTTCTCCAGGCCTTTGCCCTGGTTGTGCCTCCTGCCTGGAGTGTTCTCCCTCCCTCTCTCTCCGACTCTCAGCATCCCTGGCTTCTTTGACCACTCTGCTCAGGGGCCACCTCTTGCTTTTCTTAGCTCCCCCAGCTGCTGGTGCCATCTTTTCCAAGGTTATCTTTTTTCTGCTTTGCATATATCTCATATAAGCCTGTATATGTACATATCATCTCACCCTTTTGAATGTACATTCCTTAAGGGCAGGAAATGTTTCAATGTTAACACAGTACCTGGCACATAGTAGGCTCTTAATAAATGCTTGTTGATTGATAGATGTGAAAAGATAGGGAAAAAGTCATAATTTACCCCAAAAATATATTTTATTAATTTACTTAATTTGGCAAATATTTCTATTTGTACCCACTATATGTGAAGCATGTACTGCTGGGTGCTGGGTTACAAAGCTAAAAAGGGCCACAGTCCCTGACCTTAAAAAATGTACACATATCCTATCCTTATCACTCCAAGGTAAGGTGAGATGGACAGAAGAAAAATCCAGACAGAGTTCTCTAGGAAGATTTGAGTAGGGAGAAAAGTCATCCAGCCATGGGGAGGTGGTGCCCAGCTAAGATTGGAAGCAGGAAGTCAGAGGTTCTGAAGGAAGGCACACTTCCAGGGCTAAGGGATGGTCTACAGCAATGCACTAGGCAAGGGAGGGCAGCAGTGGCATTCCAGTCTAGCTGGCATATCAATCATGTGAAAAGTCAGGAGGAGCCAGGTCAGGGATGGCATTAAATGCCAGAGGAAGCAATAATAGGGATTTCCTGGAGATGTCTGAGTGCAGCAGGGTAAACTTGGTGGTGGTGAGGAGAGAAGATGGAGTCAGTGGACAGTCAGAAGACTTTCCAGATAATGATGGAGAACCCAGTGGACTTTCTTTTTAGGCTTGGAGGTCAGGAAGAACTGTACCACTCTTCAAAACGTCGTATGCGGATGTGCCAAGCACTTTTTTTGCAACACCCCTGAGTGTAAGCACTGTGACCCCTGTGCCCAGTAAGTCTAATGTTCTTCATTTCTCAGTCTAAGACACTCTGGGTATGGGCTCTCAGGGGGAGCTTACTGGAGACAGCCCTCCAGTGCAGAGCAGAGATTGGGAGCCAGGACCCTCATTTGTCATCCTAGTCAAGCCACTTCTCCTTTCTGGATCTGTTTCCTTATCCATGAGAGTTCTTCAGAAGATGATCTCTCCAGCACTCTTCTTGTAGAATTCCATGATCCTAACTTGTGTAGTGAGGCAAGGGATAGAATATAACTGCCTCCCTCCCTAAGTGTGGGATGGAGGAAAATGCTGCCAAGATATACTGAGCTCAGCCTCATACTCTTAGCTTCTCACTAACCTCCTAGACTCACCATCATTGCCACAGGTCACTTCTCCATACCTCCCAATTCGAATTCCATGCATAAACCACATTAGCTATGCATAAATCACAGCATTAGCAGTCATCCTTGCTTTTTACCTAGAGACTTTGCCCCCTACACCCTTCCTGGCACTGTAAAGAGTACCATGACCACCCCAGGGCTGATTGTTATAGTCTTGAATGTAAGCCTCATAGCAGGGACAGCTATGCTTTCGTCTCTGTACCCTCAAAGCTTAGCTTTGTAAAGGAAGGTCCATTGATTGACAGATTGAGTAAGGAAACCTACTTCTGGGGGGCCCTGGGGAGCAGTGCTGGTGGTGGAGGAATCATGATGGGGGGAGGAAAGAGGATAAAGGGATGGGAATGATTTTGGTTTTGCCCTTATAGCCTCACTGCCTGGCACATTTCATTAATTCTCAGTGAAGGAATGAATAAACTTTCACTTGTATAAGTTTCCATTAATGAATAGGTCAGGAAAAAACCACAAGCATGAACTCCCACTCGACCTTTTAGCATGAGTAAAGTGAGGGGGCACGGCTAATTCCCACCTTTCCAAGTCAGATATTCTATGATGTCCCTGACCTGGTCCCCTCTCCAGGTGTGAACACGGCTTCCTTGAGGAATGCACTGAAAACAGAAATGCCATCTGCCATGAGGAAGGTAACGAATCTTTTTCCCTTTGTCTTTTCCCTCTCTGTCCCCCAATGCCAAGAACTGACCAGGAAGAGGCAAGGTGGTATCAGGGCACCTTGGAATACCAGGTCATTCCAGGAAGGAGCTCCCCTTGCTTTCTGCAGAGCCTCCTGGGAACTCCACATGGGGGCAAGGGGCAAGAGGCAGGAGGGGGGTAGTTTCCATCTAACCTGTCACTTCCTTAAGTCCCAGGGAATAAATGGCTCTATCTGCTGTTGCTGCTGCTAATCCTGGCTCCAATTCTTCTCATTATTTATTGTAAGTGCCTTCTTTTTTCACATTGTCCCTGGAGAGTGTTGAGACTATTATTAATTACATAATGGTAATAACTGACGTTTATATTCCGATTAGTGCATTAGATACCCTGGACTTGCATCAATCACTGATGCTTACTGAATGAGTGACCGTGGGCCTTTTAAACTCACTGAGCCTCAGTCTCCTCATCTGTAAAATGGGCATTGTCATTCCTGTAGTACTGCCTTGCAAGTAGATGAGAGAGAGATTTTTCTGTCAAACACTCTCCAAATTCTAAAGCTCTCTGGGGATCTCAGTTACTAGACCAGGAACCTGCTGACATCTGGCCCACAGGGTCCTAGATTTAGAACAGGAAGGAACCTCAGAAGCCTTTCCTCTACCACAATGCCATCATTTTACAGATATGAAAATTGAGGCAGAGATTTTATAGGATTGTTATTTAGAGAGAGAAGAGGCCTCAGAAGGCATCAAATACAACCCCCTAATTGTACAGTTGAGAACACTAAGCTCAGAGGAGGTAAATGTTTGGCTCAAAGTCACACAGCTAGTAAGTGTCAGAGGCAGGATTTGCACCCAGGTCTTCCTGACTCCAAGTCCAGCACCCTATCCACTCCAGCACTGGACTAGACTGTTGTATGGGGATGGGTGGGGATGGAGGTAGATGGATACAAATGAGGGGTGACAGTTTCCCACATGGAAGTATTCAGAATGGCCCAGGACAGTGTGACAAGTTGAGGCCGTGGTCAGATGACAGAGAATTCAGGCCTGTCCTGAGGCTCTTGCTGGGGAGGTTGACGCAGTTTAAAATCAAGCCCATTTGGAAATGCTTTGGAAAGCTGGGTGGCCCCCTATGCCTTGTGGGAAAGATCTCCCTCCTTGTCTGAAGCCAGGGGGATTGGAGGGGATGCCTTGCTGTACCTTGCTTTGATTCACTGCTGTTGTTTCACCATTTTAGGCTGGAGAAGAAAATTCAAAGGGAATGGCTATTCCTTGGAAAAGGGAAATGAGGTAGGTATTAATCATCGTTCAAAAGCAGTGGATGGGCCCAGTCCTCATGCCATCCACAAGGCTGGATGGACCAGATTCCAGCCGTGAAGCAACTGGCTTCCCAATCTGGTGTAACACTTGCCATACGGACAAGACCTTAACGTTGGATGGCCATCCACTGGCGCCATTTTGAATTCTCATTTACCAGTGAGGTAAAAGACATCTCAGATCACACAATAAGAGTGGGGGGCTCTGGAGGAGGTTGGAGAGAGTGTATACCATGATGAAGAATGGGTTTCATATTCCAGAAGAGGTCTCAGGAAAGGGAGTTGAGATGTTAGAGAAATAATGTCAAGATATGCCGGGATTCCTTTGACTTTAGTCATCAGGCACTGAAAATATAAATGGCAATAACTCCAGGGGAGTTATCTTAATAGAAGATGCCATAAAGCCCATCCTCCTCATTTTACAGATGGGGAAACTGGGGCACAGGGAGATTTTTTTTTAAGTGACTTCCTCAAGATCACAAAGACAGTAAACCTCAGAGATGTGTTTCAAACACAGGTTCTTCTGACTCCCAAGTCCAGCACTCTATATTTATGTTAACAACACGAAGTTCTCTTTTGATACCACATTGTGGTATGAAGGCGACCTGAGGTCCTTGGAGGCTCTGTCAGTGAAGCACAAGTTCTAATAGGTCCTTCCAAATATAAAGGCTCATAGGGAGAAAGTATCGCTAAGGACACATTTTGGATTAGCATCTGGTCTCCTAACTCCAGCTGCAACATTCTTTCCACTCTATCAGTGCTCTAGAAAAACTGTGGGACCTCAGTTGCTCTAAGGAACTCCCCCTTTGCTAATAGGGAAAGTCTTTGGATAGGATTGAAAACATTGTTCAATCCTGTACATGCAAAGATAATGCTACTTATCCACAAGCAATTTTGCCAAGGCTCCAAGTTGTTTTCCTGGGAACAAGGTAACTGAACCACATCTCTGTTTCCCGGTGCTCCCTTGTGACCCAGACATTTTCAAGATGGCAGGTGAGAATGATGGCTACAGTTTAGGGCAGTCACACAGTACAGTGGAAGCAACATTAGATTTGGAATCAGCAGACTGGGTTCTAATCCTGGCTTTTCATTTGAATGACCTTAGCCACTCAGTTTCCCTATCTGTAAATTGAGAGGGTTTGTTGAGAAGACCTTGAAGGGTCCTTCCATCTCTACATCTGTGGTCCAGTTATCATGTAATAGATTGGAGCTACTAGGTCAATACAGGGTTGAACTGGGCCATAGTTGGACCATTGGCTCTGTGCTCCAACTAAGTAAAATGTATGAAAGTCAAATACCCTATCAGGTTCAGATAGAGACAAGCTTAGAAGGGTGGGCGTGGGTCTGTATGTGTGCCTCTCTGTCTCTGTGTGTCTGTCTGTGTCTGTGTGTGTGTGTGTGTGTGTGTGTGTGTGTGTGTGTGTGTATGTGTCTTTTTGGGTATGCATGTATGTGTGTCTGTCTATCTCAGCATCAGTTATGCCCAGGCTGTCTTTTTAAATGGTGACCTGAACTAGGTCACCTGTATAGGTTTTAAGAATAAAACTAAATATATAATTATTATGGAATTAAATTGGGGGAGGATGAGAAGGAAAGATAGGTCATACCATTATGTAGAAGAGGGAGCAGAGAATGTTCTTTCAGGTTTTTTAGAGTCTTTTTATTGGGTAGAGCAGAATACTAGATCTCAGAACTGCGAGGGCATTGAGTCCAAGCCACACCTGACCAAGAATCCCCCCTCCACCATGCTGCTTGTGAAGTCTTTGGATCGGCTCTTACACTTAGGAAAGTCTTCCTTACATCATGAGTAGGTCTCTCTCAACAATATCCACTCACTTCATGGCTCTGTCCTTTGGGGCCAAGAAGAACAAGTCTAATCCATCTTGAAGACCCTCCTCCCCTAAGTCTTATTTCCTCTCTGATAAGCCTCCTCATTGCCTCAGCAGAACCTTAGGTGACTACACTGTGATTGTCTTCTTCTGGGTGCCTTCTACTACCAAGTTCAGCATCCTCTCTAAAAGGTCACACCAAAGTAAACACAGTATTCCACATATGGTATGGCCATAGTAGAAGGGAATTGGACTGTCATTTCCCTTGTATACACAATGCCTCTATTAATTTGGCCCAGAGTCACACTAACTTTAAGCTATCATGCCAACATTTTCATTCATTGTACTTGCGGTACACCAACATTCCCAAATCCTTTTTATGCAAACAACCAACAAGCTACACTTCCCTCATCCTTTACTTGTAATGTTGGCTTTTATTGCATCTAGGTATAGAACCTTGCATGTATCCCTATTGAATTTTATCTTCTCAGGTTTGATCCATCATTCTAGCTGGCTGAAATCTTTTTGAGTCCTATTTATGTTATTCAATGTTTTAGCTGTCCCTCCCAGGTTTGGGTCATCTGAAAATTTGATAGACGCATGTACACACCCAAACACACACACACACACACACACACACACACACACACACACACACACTCAGGCAAATGGCAAGATGGCCAAGCCCAGAAGTTATCTGGTGACCATCTTTTGGGGACAGTGTGCAGAAGAGATTACTGCAGGAGAAGAGGGGGGTGTCAAGTAGAATGACCTCTAAGGTCCTGTCTAGTTTTTAAAATTCTGTAATGCTGTGATATTCATTTATTCTCATTCTCTTCTTTTTCCCATAGGAAAACATTCCCCTGAGTTATACAGGTAAGATATTCTTTTGTTTTCCCAGAAGCAATAGATTTCAGACTTGTTTCCTTCCCTCCAATTCTGCTGCATCATTACATTAATTAATTACATGCATTAAATTAAATCATTACATGCTCATTAAAAAATAACGGCATGTACCCAGTAGCTGCTAAGTAATTGTTTGTTGAATTAAAATGACAACATTATAAAAAGAAACAAATTTTGAAAGACTGTAGAGTTCTGATTAGTGGAATGACAAACTGTGATTCCTTAAGATGGCTGCTAAACTCTGATGCTCACCTCCTCCCAGAGAAAGGATGGACTCGAGATGCAGAATGGATCATCCCTTTGGAAGATGGCCAGTGATGGAATCTGTTCTGTTTGTATGTTGGTTTTGAGGACTGTGTTATTTTTCTTGTCTCTTTTTCAATGGGTATGGAGCATGGAAGGAAGAGAAGATAAATGCTTGTCAATTGAAGGGACAGAGTGGTAATGGGTTCACTTTCACTGGAAGTCTTCAGGCATTGTTTGGCACACTACTTGTTGAGACGTAAAGAAGATTCTTATTCAGACTACACTGGACCAGAAACTTGATGTGATGAATACAGGGCTGGACTCAGGGTTCAAATCCCACCTCAGATGCTTAGTAGCTGTGTGACCTTGGGCATATCACTTAACATTTCTGTGCCTCAGTTTCCTCCTCTGTAAAGTGAACAGGTTAGACTTGCTGGCCTCCTCCAAGCCTAAGATTCCATCACTTCTGGGGTCCCCTCTGACTCTGAGATCCTGAGACCAAGAATGAAGTAAAATTAACTCAAATTATCTTATTAAATACTTACACTTTTCTGTAGCAGGACACATGGAAGGAAGGAAGAAAACAAGTATTTATTAAGCATCTCCCATGTGCCTGGCACTGTGCTAAACACTTTAAAATGTTTTTGGTTTTTTTGTTGTTGTTGTTTTGGGGTTTTTTTTAGGCAATGGGGTTAAGTGACTTTCCCAGGGTCACACAGCTAGTAAGTGTTATGTGTCTGAGGCCAGATTTGAACTCAGGTCCTCCTGAATCCAGGGCCAGTGCTCTATCCACTGCACCACCTAGCTGCCCCTAAAATGTTTTCTCATTTGATCCTCACAACAGCCCTGTGAGGGAGATGCTGTCACTGTCTCCACTTTACACATGAGGAAAAGGAGACAGGCGGAAGTGAAATGACTTGCCCAGGGTCACACAACTACTAAGAGTGGACCTGGAGCTGGATTTAAACTCAGATCTTCCTGACACAGTGATCTCCACTGTGCCATCCAGATGTTATTGGGAGGAGGCAGTAGGGACCTGGGAAATCCTGCAGCCTTGCCTTCTCTTGGACTCAGCTCCTGACCTCTTAGTTCCCTTTTGATGATCCTTTGGTTCTCCTCCTGCTCCCCTCCCCCAAAAATGTTCCTTCAGCTTGTTCGAATACTTCCCGTGATGGGGGACTCACTACCTACCAAGGCAGCCCCTTCTGCTTTTGACTAGCTCTCATTATCATTGAGTTGTTCCTTTTGTTGAGCCAGAATCTGTGATCGGGGTGCAGCTGTTCCCACCAAGATCCCACCAGCAGACTCCACCTTTCACAGGGCCCTGGCCAAAAAAGTTTCCTGTCCCAAAGCCACCTTGACTTAGTCCTCCTTAAAAGGCATGATCCCAGGCAGGCAGAAAGATTCCAAAGCCACTGAAAATGTTGCATCATCTCAAAACCAGCCTGCACCATTCAGATAACGACCGTACCAAGACGATGTGTAAGCCCTTGCTGTGTGTGCACAGAGCGCTGAGCTAGTGCTGAATGTTTACATGAGACACAGCTCCTGCCCTCACAGGGCTTATAGTCTGGAGTTGGGGTGGGGGAGGACAAGTGTCCTCACAGGTGAGTCTCATCCAGAACTCTACATGAGAAGGACATTTGCATCCGGATCTGATCTCCTCAGCCTGGGGAGCTCCCGGTATGGAGACCTCCCTACCTCCCGCCCCTCAGATCTGAAACTTGCCTGAGACTGGGAGATGAAAAGACTTGTCCACTGTCATGCAGCTAGCTTGTGGCACAGACAGGCTTCAAATCCGGGTCTTCCTCGCTCTGAGGCCAGCTTTTCATCCACTGGACCCCGATGTGTTTCAGGTCCAAGGTGGAGGAGGTGGGAATGGTGCAGTCTTACAGAGGCAGACAGTTGATCCAAATCTATGTGCCAGGCAGCACAGAGGACAGGGCGTGGGACTGGAGCTTGGGAAGACCTGGCTCTTGTCTGTGTGATCCTAGACAAGTCACATGAACTTTCCGAGCCTCAGTTTCTTCATCTGTAAAATGAGGGGACTGTACTTAGCAGTCCCTTAGTGATTTAAAATGGGACATCTTAACCTGGAGTCTGCAAACTAGGTGGTGGCAAGTATCATTTGTTTTTATTATTTGGATAACTCTATTTCCATTTAATTGATTTCCTTGTTATCCTGTGTATTTTGTGCATTTAAAAACACTGTTCTGAGAAGGGGTCCAAACGCACCCTGCAGGTTTTTGGAAAAATGAAAGAACCCATGGGGATCAGGGGGTCAGAGGGAGGCATATCTTTCTCTTCTTTCCAGCTCTTGGGGTCACTTGGCTGTGGAGGAAACAGTCCAGCTCCTGGGCCTTGGTTTCCTCCTATGTAAAATGAGGAAAGGTCGGACCCCCTCAGGAGTCCTTCTCCTCATCTGTGTCCTGACCCCTTTAGCAGAATTGTCAAACCTCTGGTCCCCTTCTCAGAAAAGTGTTGTTAAATGTACGTGACAAAATAGGTAGGATTTTAGAGGAAACCAACCATAATGAAATAAAGCCATGTTGGATGCCAGGTTATGAACTCCTGGCCTCAGTGACCTTGAAGGTCTCCCCCAGCTCTACAGCTATGATCCTAGATTCCTAAGGAACAAAATTAAGGCATCAAAACTCCACCCTCTGTGCCTCTATAAGAAAGGAATGAGCAGAGGTTTGTTTCCGAAATAATGCTTTTCATGGGCTGTTTTCTGTTTGTGTTTATTTCTTGCTTTTCAGATATTGACTTGAGTACACATATCTCAAAAATTGCTGAGAACATGGAACTAGACCAGGTTAGGAAGTTTGTCCGGGAGATGGGCACAACCGAAGTTAAAATTGACCAAGTCAAGAATGATTACAACAACGACACGGAAGAGCAGAAATTCCAGCTGCTCAAACACTGGTATGAGAGCCACGGGAAGAAGGGGGCGCACAGACGTCTCATCCTGGGCCTCAGAGAGATGGGCCTGCGTGTTGTTGCTGAAAAGATACAGGACGTCATCAGTACCCAGCCAGGAAATGACGTCATCAACACCCACCCAGAGAATCAACCCGAAAATGGAAACTCCAGCATTCCACACAACCAAGGCCCGGCCTCCAGTTAGAAGTCTCTGGAGCCCTGTGCCTGTCCAAGTAGCTTCCAAGACAGCGAAGAGGGAGGGGGTTAGTTAAATCAGACATCATTCCAAGGTCTGGGATGTAAATATAATGACTTTAAGAGCAGTTTTTAATTTTTAGGACATAGATACTTATATAAGAGTATAATCCCAATCTACCTGTGTAAATCAGGCCCTCTTGGAAGGTCTCCCCTGCCTCTCCCCACCCTCCCCCGCAAGAAAACATCCTTTCTTTATTTCTGGCTGATGTCTGGATTTCCACCATTAAAACTTTGGCCCTGCCTTCTATGAAAGGTTAAATGCCCAAAGAAAAGTGTGGAGACATGGACTTACTTCATCTTGTAACCTACTTTTATTTTCTATCAGAGAGGCAAACAACTTGGGTCATTGATAGATCCCACATACTCATAGCTGCCCACCATTCCTAATCCTAGAACCAGGCCCCTTTCTCCCTTCCTTGAACTTTGGGAGAGGATACCTATCTTTCTTGGACTTGTGAAAGCAGCACCTCCCTCCTGGTCAAAATTTAGGTTGTAAAAAGATGGGACCGCAAGAAGATTGGCCAACATGGAGGAGTAGAAGGAATCAGTACTACTGAGCTCTCCCCTAAAGCAGCCCTAGCAAAAGCCTAGGAAGAGTGCCAGATGGAGCAGCGACTGGGAAATCTGCAGAGACAACAGTGAGTCATTCTCCTAGGAACAAGGGCCAGCCAGCAGCTGTGTCCTTCTGACCCAAGAGATGGGTTGAGGATCCAGTGGACTGAGGAGGGAACCTGCAGCTAGACCTGACCTGTGGCCGTATCCAGAGCAAGCAATAGCAGTGTGGCACTGACCTCAGAAAAGAGTTGCAGATTCAGTCCTGAGCCTGTAGCTGAGTAACCAGAAAGCTCAGACCAAGAGGGAACCTACAGTTCTATCACTATGAACCTATGGAGTCTTTCAACTAGCCAACAGGGGCTAGCAGTCTACTGGACTGCTAACCAAAGGAAAATCTACAGTTGTGTTACCCAGACTCAAACTCGGTTCAGGAATTTGCAAAACTCTGACAAGGAAGGCAGTGATCAGACTGTTTTGAGCACCCTGAAAGTTAAGTTTCCTGGACTGAACTGCCCTGAGATCCCTGAAGAATGCAGTATTCAGTGTCCAAAGAAAGCACCAGCAGTTCCCAGAGAACTCAAATCAGGGCCAAACAAGGTCCCAACATTCCCTCCAGAAGTTCCTGACTCAAGAAGCAAGTCTAGAAGAATGAGTCAGCAACAACAAAAAAAGATTCCCATCATAAGGAGCTGTTAAGCTACAAACCCCAAAAAAGAGAATAAAGCCAAAATAAGCAAAGCCTCAAAAAAATGCACCTTGGGAAGCAGGCCTTGCCTAGGCCTGCCTGCCCACTCCAGTGGCTTTCCAGCTCAAGTCTTCAGGTACATTCATCCATCTTTCTATGAAAAAATTAAAATGGCTTCTATAGGAAAGACAGAGACAAGTCAATTAAAACGGAACTTAGAAAAACGATCGGACAGACTAATGCAATAGTTACGAGATTGGAAGAATGCAGAGAAGAGCCTGAAGTGGACGAATATGAAGAAACCAAAAAAGACTTTGGAACAGCTGGGTGAATTCAATGATTCGCTGGAGACAATTATGTCTGGAAACATGACTTTGGTAGACGAACTTAGTAGGATGCAACTGACCATTCAGGCGGCCCTCAGCCAGAGGTTATCAGATTGTTTGCAAAGAAACAGCCAGGGCAGCTGCAGACAAGATTAGCAGAGATGGACAGAGACCTGGTGGTTGGAAAATGGAAAGAGATGTGTGCGCCCAAGAGAAGCCAGAGATACCTGACTGCCCTGCGGAACTTGGGAGAAAAGCTGACTGCCAGCGAGGCCTTCCTGTCCACAAAGCCAGTTTAAGGAAGTCTCCACTGACCTTGGCTCTGGAGACAAAGTCCTCACTTTGGCAAGTTTTGAAGTGGAAAAAAAATGATGAGGAGCTTTGTAGAATCCTGGGGCACTAGTGCAAATGACACCCCACTCCCCCCACCCAATGAGGTTGCGGCTTACCACGCAGACGCACCTGCTGGCCGCCGGTTCATGCTTCCGTCCTCTTCCTTCCGTGGTCATTCCTCAGCAGTCTGCTCTTTTAGCTGTTACTGTAGCAAGAAAATGAGAAATAGATTCTGTCCAAGCCCCCTTGGGAAGGGATCAGGGGACCTAGAGCCCAGTTGTTTGCTTTGTTTTCAAACCAAGTCATGATGTTCTAGGACATAACTTGGCTTTAATCATTTTGATCTTGAGTTCGATCATGTGCATTTTGAAGCTGATTTTCCTTTAAAATAACCTTGGTTTGACAACTGGTTGAAGTGGCCAAGTATGCGGTGACCAGAGAAGAAAAGAGGCCCTCCTGGACCTTTCTCAAATGAGGTGAAACTCGACCACTGGCAAACTGGGCGCCTCTTCCCAAACGGCCTTGGGGATGAGCACTGCCCAAAGTAGGCCCAGGGTAGAATGTAGTAGGAAAGTGTCGGAGAGAGAGCGTGCTGCTGAATGCACCTGAGTGGGCTGCATGGGAGGGCACTAGGAGTGAGTTAGGCCGAAAGGTGAACACTTAGCACTCCACGAGGGACAGAAGGAGAACTGAGCTGACCCCCGGGCCACCAGAGAACCTGCAAACTCAGGGCAACTTTGAAGACTAGCTGTGACTCATTTCTTCTACTGTGTGAGTAATGCGTTCGTTCAGAGTTTGATTCTGTCAGGCACCTGGCCTAAGTCACAAAAATGCATTCCTTCAAGCATCTCCATGGTGTTGTAGGCCCACCACAATCTGGCCCTTTGTTCTGCTCAGTCCTCAGAGGAAGAAGAGGCATCCCAGGTGGGAGTTGTAGATGGGCACCTTGAGGCAGGGCGCTAAAGGGAACTTCCTGACAGCGAGAGATTATGAGAATAGAATGAGCTCACGTCCTGGCTTTGTCAGTTACTGCCTGTGTCATCTTGGGCAGACCAACCTCCCTAAGCCTCAGTTTTCTCATCTGTACAATGAAGGGGTCAGAACAGATGGTTCTGAGTTCCCATTTAGCTCTAGAGATGCGACTTGTGATCCCCTCCTCAAGCCCTCCTCTCCATTAAATTGCTACATCGGCTGACCCCAGGTCCCAGAGATACAGCTTAAGACTTTGCTCACGCCATGTCCTCTCCAACCCCACTGCCCTGTAACTTTCCAAATCTTATGAGTCCTCAAAGATCCCGCTCAATTCCCTCCCCGTCTACAAATCCTTCTTGGCCCAGCCAGAGTGCTGAGTGCCCTGAGGATGGAAGAATCTTGTCTGCCTGGCTAACCATCTCAGAGCATATCCTGCACAGCTGTCTTGTGGTCATTGCACTGGGTTTTAGATTCATCCCTTTCCAAATTCATTTTTTGTCCTTTTAGCACCGAGACCTTGTCTTTCTCATCTCTGTATGTCCAGGTACCTTAGCAAGAGGACTTATGGAGTGCTGTGGGGGTAACAGGCCTGGATTATAGAGAGAAAACCAGGTCAGGTTCAAGTCTTGGTTCCATCACTTGGGCAGGTCGTAGAACCAAAATCCTGTACTCCCAGAGTGCGAAGGAACCTCAGATGCCGGGGAGCAAACCTCATGTCTGAAAAGTAATCCCTCCTACAACTTCCAAGGAGGTTTCTCTGGGGAGAACAAGTGATTCTCCAGGGAGGTGGGATGAGGGCTGGGCTGGCCAAAGGACCACGTCCTCTTGAGCACAGGTGGCATACTCTGCTGATAACATATCCACACAGACTCTAGGGCATACACAGTTATTACTTCTGGTCTGCTTTGATGGGTCACTTTCCCAACCTTCCAAAGCTCTCAAGGTTTCAGCCTAATATTCCTTTGCCTAAGAGCAGGAAAGACCAGACCCAATGGAGACAGAAAGAACAGTCGGGCATTCACAGGCTGCATGGGTCATGGCCTGGTTGGAGAGACAATGGCCTGTGCCCTCTCTTTCCACCATGAGGCTTGCAGTAGACTTTGCCTCCTCACTCAGATACAGACAAGCAGGAAAGAGGAAATCCCTAGCTCATTACTGCCTCGGATGTATTCTGAGTTCCCTGCTCAGAAAGACCCACCATCTACCCATGGTAGGTAAAACACAATACCTGTGAGGAGTCTGAAGTCTACGTGGGGATTCCATCACGGGAGCATGCCACATGTGCACACAAACACCAAGCCCACGGGGCAGACCTAGCCCCATTCTCACAGAGGGATGACCCAGTGCCTTTCCAGGCAGGCCACCCCATCTCTGGATAGTCCTCATTCTTAGGAAGGCCCTCCATCCATCAAGTCTAAACGTTCTTCTCTGCAGGCTTTCTTAGGCTCAGTTTTGTCCTCTGCGAAAAGGGAATCATAAAACCTACTTCACAAGGCTGTTGTGAGAACGGGGTTGTTGTGTGTAAAGTGTTTTGCGAATCTTAAAGTGGTAAATACACAACAGCTGTTGATTGTTTCCTCCTCGTCACCTCACGTCATTCACCACCTCATTTCCTCCCTCTCTCCCCCTTTACTAGTCTCACATGAAGACGTGGCCTTTCTTCTTTCCAAGGTAAACCCCTCTAGATACACATTCTTTCTTGTCTTCCCCAACAACCTGCTGCCTCTGTGAACCCCATTCTCTCATCAGTCTTCAGTGTCTCCATCTGCTGACAGCTTCCCAACTGCCGACAAGCGTGCCCCATGCTCAGAACCCCTCACCTGAACCTTCCCTCCCTGCTAATGATCACCCCATATGGCTCCTGTTTTTTGTGGCCAAGCTCCTTGAGAAGGCTGCCTGCAGTGGAAGCCTTCACCTTCTCTCTTCTGAATCATTCATCATTCAGTTTCTGGACTCATCATCCCACTGAAGTGATTCTCTTCAGCTCCTCTTACTCAGCAGATCTCATGGCCTTTTCTGTGCTCATCCTTCTGGACCTTTGTCCTGTTCTTCTGGAGGCTCCTTCTCCCTAGGTCTTTGGGACACTCCTCCTCCTTGTCTGACCGCTCCTTCTCAGCCTCCTTGGCTGGATCTGGTCTAGATCCCACTCACTAACCGTCAGTGTCCCCCAGGGCTCCTTCCTGCCCCTTTTCTCTTCTCCCTCCAAACTATTTCCCTGGGTGATCTCATCAGCTCCCACCAATTCAATTACCGCCTCCATGCTGATGGTTCTCAGATAGACCCAGCCTCTCTCCTGGCCTCCAGCTGCCTATTGAACATCTGTAACTAGATGTCCAGTGGACATCTAAAACTAACCTCATTATCATTTTTCCCAAGTTCTCCCCTTTTCCTAACATTACTTTCATTGTTAAGGGCACCACCATCTTCTGTCCCCCAGACTCACAACTTAGGTTTCATCCTGGCTTCCTCACTCTCCTTCACACACTCCCCCAGATCCAATCCATGTTACCTTCGTAGCATTTCTTATCTACGCCTCCCTCTCTCCTCTGACACTGCCACCAGTGTGGTACAAGTCCTCATCACCTTAAGCCTGGATTATTGCAATAGCCTGTTGTTTGGGTTTCCTACCTCAAGACTCTGCCCATTGCAGGCCATTCCTCAACTATCAAAGCAATAGTCTTTTTTCTTAAATATATTTTATGTATTAAATTAATATTTAATATTTAAATAATATTTAATTTAAATCAAATGTTTAATATTTGTTAAATATTTCCTAATTATATGTAAAAAACTTAACATTAATTTTTTAAAATTTTGAGTTCTAAATTCTCTCCTTCCCTCCCACCTCTCCTTCACCCCTTGAGAAGACAATATCAATAACACATGTGAAGTCACACAAACACATTATTTCCATATTAGCCACATCACAAGAGAAAACACAGCCCAAAAAAGCAAGAAAAATAAAATTTAAAAAAAGTATGCTTCAGTCTGTACAATTCATCAGTTCTGTTTCTGGGGTTGAAACATTTTCCATCAATTGTTTTAGATTATTATATTGCTGAGAAGAGTATTCATAGTTGATCATCACACAATGTTGCTGTTAACTGTGTACAATGTCCTCCTGGTTCTGCTCACTTCACTTTACATCAGTTCATATATGTCATCCAGGTTTTTCTGAAGCCATAAGGCTTGTCATTTCTTATAATGCATTAGTATTCTATTACATTCATATACCACAATTTGTTTAGCCATTCCCCAGTGAGTGGACATCCCCTCAGTTTCCAATTCTTGGCCACCACAAAGAGAGCTGCTATACATATTTTGTACAAATAAGTTCTTTTCCTTTTTCTTTGATCTCTTCGGGATATATACCTACTAGTGGTATTGCTGGATCAAAGGGTTTTGTAGCTCTTTAGACATAGTTCCAAACTGCTCTCCTGAATGGTGGGATCATTTCACAACTCCACCAACAATGCATTAGTGTCCCAATTTTCCCACATCTTTTCCAACATTTATCATTTTCCTGTTTTGTCATGTTGGCCCATCTGATAGGTATGAGGTGGTACCTCAGAATTTTTCAATTTGCACTTCTCTAATCAATAGCAATTTAGAGTATTTGTTCATGAGACTATTAAATCATAAGACTATTAAGATAATCTTAAAATGCACTTTTAGCCATGTAACCCCACTCCCCCGCCCCATTAAACTCTGGTGACTCCCTGTTACCTCCAGATTAAATATATAATCCCATCTGCCTTTTGAAGCCAGGCATAATCTGTCCTCCTCCTTCCTTTTCAGTCTTCTAACTTCTTGCTTCCTCCACTCACTCAGTGACCCAGTGACACTGGTCTCCTGGCTGTTCATTGAACAAACATTCTGTCTTCCCACTCTGAATTTCCCATGGCCATCCCCCAAGCCTGGGACCCTCTCCCCCCTCTTCTCTGCCTTCTGTTTCCCTGGCTTCTTTCAGGGCCCAGCTAACATCCCACCTTCTACAGGAAGCCTCTCCCAATCCTCTTTATTTTAAAGCTTCACCTCCAGAACCTCTTCAGTTTATCTTGCACTGATCTTGTTCGTACCAAGCTGTTTCCCTGTGTCTTCCTCCATTTAACCGTAAGCTTCTTGAGAACGTAAGATGACTCTTTGCCTTTCCTTGTATCTCTAACACTCAACATCATATCCAGTACATAGTAAGTGCTTAATAAGTACTCATTGTGGTTGTTGTTAATTCAGTAACCATTTATTAAGCACCTACTATGTGCCAGGCACCCATAAATAATGCAGAAAATGCAAAAAAAAGGAACACAGGAACCTAAAGACAGTCAAAGGCCCAGGGTCACACGGCTGAGAGTCTGAAGTAGCATTCAAACCTGGGATCAGTGCTCTATCCACTACGCCCCCTTCCTGTACTTATATGCATACATGTTGTATCTCCTGCCAGAATTAACATCCTCGAAGGCAAGTTCTGTTTTTCATTTTTCATCATAGTCCCAGCACCTAGCAGAGACCCTGGCATGTAGTAGGGCCTCATAAATGCTTGTGGATTGCTTAATTACAGGTCTGATGCTCAGGAGCGATCCTCCATCCTCCCCACGGTGCCTGCTGGAGGGAGGCTCCAGAGAAGGATGTTTCCTCTCAAGTCCCAAACAAAGGTTTGCCTCTCTGTGAACCCATCACACCATGTTCCCATCCTCACCCTCACCTTTTAAAATCTCTTATTTCATCAAAACTGCTCAAGTGTCACTGTCTACACAGAGCCTTTCCTGATTCCTCTCCCACGCCCAGAGAGGTGTGCCCTCCCCCGCAGTATACCTTGTATTACATATATTGAATGAGGAGGAGGAGGAGGAGGAGGAAGCTAACTAGCATTTATATGT